TGTGAGGTTTGGGCTATAAGATTTTGTGGTCAATAAAAGAAGGCAAAGGTCTTTGGGTTGGATATGATCAAGATACATTGTATACAAGTAAGAAATGTCAAAAATATGAATAAAATATTATTTTAATAAATGAGAGAGAAGGTAGGCTGCAGAGATGGCTCAGTGGTTCAAAGCACATACTGCTCTTCTAGAGGACCCCAGTTTAATTCCTAGCAACCACATCAGGCAGCTCTGGCTTCCTCCTGTGGCATGCACATGCACATAGACATACATAGACACACACACATATATACATAGTTAAAAATAAAAAAAAAATCTTTTTTAAAAAATAGAGAAGACAATGCTTAAAAATAATGATCAGAGAAGAATGCCCCTCTGACCTGACCCTTACAGTCCTCTGCATGCTTGATGCCTGACACTCCAGGGAGCTGCGGACCCTGAAGAGACATTCTTACCAGTCTGCACTACAGATCCATTTTCCTTGTCAAGAATAGGCTTTGTTCCCTTGGGGCCAGGGAAAATCAAAGTGAAATACCAGTAAATGATTTAAGTGCTGAGAGTGAAGGAGAAAAAAAAAGGATAACTTTGCTTTTGTGATTCCCTCCGGAATGTTCTGGGCCTTTTCAGTCAGTTTAAGAGTGAATCCCATAATTCTGTTTGCTCTGTCTGCCATTGGCCATGATCATTGCTGCTGTTGACAGAGGCCAAAGGAAGAGCAGGGACAATTGTGAGGTGTTCGTTCTAAGTATTCTTTAAGTAGCTCTCATTACCCACTGCCTAATCAGAGGGACCTGGTCCTCCATGGAGTATGTCTCCTGAGATGCTTCTCAACCCACACCTGTCTACTTCCAGCTACTCCTAGGCCTCCAAACACACAAACCTAGTAAGTAAATAATTGTTCTAGACCTTTGCCACCTTCAGATCATCTGACTAAGTCCCTTAGTGATTCTTGTTTCACCAATCCTTCTCTACCTTCTTTGAAAGATTCATTTTTTTCCTTGCCCAGGAGAAGAGGCAAGAAACACTAGTCTGTCTTTTCCTTGGGTAGGTGGTCTAAAAATTGCTTTCCTTAGCGACTGAAACTATCTTCTCTTCTATAATCTTCTCTGCAGACAATAATGGGAAACTCTTTTAAAGCTGAGGGTGGTAAACGGCACAGTGTAGGTACTCAATTAAGATATGGCTGATTGAGGGCCAGGCATGGTGGCGCACACCTTTAATCTGAGCACTCGGGAGGCAGAGGCAGGTGGATCTCTGTGAATTCAAGGACAGCCTACCTGGTCTACAAAGTGGGTTCTGGGCCAACTGGGGCTACAGGGAGACCCTGTCTCACAAAGAAAAGACATGGCTGATTGAGAAAATTATGAGCGGGTCTTCCTTCAAGCAGAGCACCTGTGCCACACAGCTCTATAGCATCATTGATTCATTTTTTTTGTGAACAGCATTTCCTTGATTTGTATGCCAAACGGTATGGCCCTCAAATATCTTTTCTAAGGCAATCATCACAGGTGTCACAAAATCTTTGTTTTAAAATAACATATGGTCTTATACTTAACGGATGTCCTCTGACATCAGATTTAAAAGCAACTCCATTCCTATCCAATATTTAATAAAAGGACTCAGTCACATCTTCAAAGTTTTACTTCCAAGTTGATGGAAAGAAGAAAACAAAAGTCAAGTATAGATTCTTATCACTTTATAACAGCTCTAAAGCATTAATTACTAAAGAATACATGCTTAGAGGAATAGGAAAATATTTCTAAAAAGTCTATGTTGTATGTAGATTTTTAAGAGAAAGAATTCTAAAGCCAAAAGGTTCAAACACTAACCCAACAGGTTTGATTCAAAGTTCTTTGCCAATGCTGGGCTCTGTGCATAGATAAATCAAATAAACTCACTCAACCAAATCTTCAGACTTACCATTTTTATAACTTCAGGAATCACGAATCACGAAGGAATCTAGGTGTGTAACCACACAGGATCTTTGCCTAAGCTCTTTGGCCAAAACATATAAATATTTCTAGACACTCTTTCGACATGTACAAGAACCCTGCATAAATCTAATGCTCGTAGAATGCTTTCTTTAGATACAGTCACTTGAATATGTGTTACAGACTAATCCATTTGAACAGAGGCTGTACTGAGATTTTAGCCAAATGAAATATGGTATTAAAAAGTAGAAGGAATTTCACATTCTATACCTACATACTTTCATAGAAAAATCTATTTTTTTGGCAGTACTGGAGATTGATCCTAAGGTGTCATACATACTAGCCAAGCACTTTACCACTGAGCTACTCTTTTCATTTCAAGATAAGATGTCTTTTTTTTTTTCCAAACCAGTGAGTTTATTAGGGTTACTTACAGAGGTGGGTGAGAAGTTACTTACAGGAGCATGGATTATTCAAAGGCAATTCAGTCACCAGAAAGCCTATTCTAACACAGGTGACAACTCACAAAAGCTATATCCCTGGAGCTCCCTGCACAACGAGCAGGTAGCTTGACTTATGTGGGAGTCTTCTCTTTCCAGTAGCCATTACTGCTTATATAACTTTGAAGAGGGACCTTGTGACTCTCTTAAGTTGTAGGACCTTCCTGAGACTTGCAAGTAACTTACTTCCCGAGTCTTGTAAGTTTTGCTTACTTCTTGAATGTTAACAAGCCTCCCTCCAGGATGGAGCCTTTCGATTAGGAGGGAATAGCTACACGAGAGTCACTGTTTATGAGATGACATGCGGTACATATTTTTGTACGTCCTACTCCCCAGTGGCTGGGGATTCCCTTGCCAAGTCCCAGTATCTGTGTTCAGCCCATGCTTCTGTGAGCCATCTGGGATCCTGAAGCAGGTGCTCTTCAATGATAGGAGAACTGTTTTGGGGGTAGAAAATAAACTGTTTATTTACTACAATTTTGAGCTCAATTAATTGAGAACAAAATCTAAATAGCTCTCCCACCTGCACTCTGGAGGCCATGGCCAAGTGAAACCTGTGGCTGTGAATGTCTGATTTTCTGAATATATGAAAGTCGCAGGTCCAGCTCATGCTTTTAATGATCAGTATTAGCCTGTGCTTGACTCGCAGCTGCATGAACTGTGATGACAAATACTTGGGCTGATCCCCAGGCTGTGCCAAGGGTATGTCACTCATGTTTACGTCTTTGTGAGGCTTCTAGAGACACACAAGATGGCAAATAACTCCAAGATAAGATGTCTTTAAGTTGCCCAAAATGACCTTGAACTCACTCTGCCTTGAATTTGCAATCCTCCTGCTTCATCCTCCTGTGACCATGCAGGTCTGTGTCACCAAGGCTGGGTTCCCATTTCTATGTTCTTTTTTTTAAAAAAATAAATAGTTTATGTATTATTTTTATTCCATAAGTATATTGCCTACATATATGTAAGTACACTGGTGTCATGCAATGCATGCAGAGGTCAGAAGAGGACATCAGAGTCCCCTGGAACTGGAGTTATGGATAGTTGCTAGCTGCCATTTGGGTGCTCTTAACTGCTGAGCCATCTCTCCAGGCCTCATTTCTATATTCTTGAGCAGAATAGTCATCCAGAGCTATAGTCATGTTTTGATACAGTAGAGAAATGAGTCTTCTAGTCAACTGTTTGTTCACCTTAGAAGGTGTATTAGTGCTCTCCCCACACCCCAGAATGCTACGTGTATTATTATTCATTGGATCGGACGTATGTGGTTGTCATTTCTATACTTTAGAGTTTTGAAGAAAACATGGAGTTCTGTGTCTAAATCAGTGGTTGTTTCATTTTTGTTGCTGTGCTAAATACCCTGACAGAAAGCAATTTAGGGGAGAAGGGATTATTTAAACTCACAATTCCAGGTTGTGGCCCATCATGAGAGAAAAGTCAAGGCAGTAGGAACATGAAGCAGCTGGTCACAGCACTGCCACAGTCAAGAGCAGAGAGTGACAACTGCATGCATGCTGCCTGCCTGCCCGACTGCCGGCTTATGTTCAGCTCAGTTTCTCTGCCCTGCCTAGGAAAGGGTGCACTCACAGGGAGCTGGGTCTTCCCTTAGCAGTTAGGTTAAATAATCCAGCAGTGGCATGCCCACAGGCCGAACCAGTGTAGACTATTCCCCACTGAAACACTCTCCCCAGGTCATTCTAAGTTGTGTCAAGTTGACAATTAAAACTAGCCACTATTAAGAAGACAGCCTTTCTCCCTTGAGGAAAATGTACTGACTTCATATTGCCTTCATGTTAAAGTTCAAAATTTATCCTGAAAAATTTTAGTGAAGTCAACTGTATATCTTGGTAAAATTGCACACCCAAATGTTTGTGTGCATTATGCAAGCCTGCACACAAACATGTGTACACACACATTGCATTCTAATCTCTAGCCAAGCGTGCCACAGAGGAAATGTCCCACTGTCTTTTTACTTTCCTTCTTCAATATAAGGTGTTCTCTCTTTATGTGATAGCTTTCCCCTCCTTGTCAGTCTGACTGCCTTCCAAGCAAGACACAGCCCCCATGGCACCTCAAACCTGGCTTAGTGAAAGTTTTCAATGAAACAAACACTACATTTTAACTTATACCTAACTTGATTATTTTTATACTTTATTTGCTGATGTCAGTTTGAACAGGTAGAGAACAGATAGCTAAAATACACTAAATCAATGGAGATTTCATTACAAGTCATACTCCTTAAATTTCCATTCATATGACTGTGAATTTCCAGTAAGTTTGTGCTTTAAGGATTTCAAAGATCTGGAAGAAATCTAATAAAACAACACATGCAGTTCAGTGAAGATGATATTCAGGCTTGGGAACATTCAGAAAGGGGTGATGCCAACTTGGGTAAGTTTGATGTTTAAAAATGCACATAGATGATATTGGTGAAAAGAAAGAGATGCAGAATAGGTAGAAGACAGGTTAGCAGAAGACAAAACCTGACTTGCTAGCCACACATAAAAACCTTCTGGCAGCAGTCACTTGGCCTGAAGTCTGCCTTGCTCAGCATTTGGCAAGTACTTACCCTCTGGCCTGGTGAGCCATCACGTCCCGGTGAACCCACACCTCCTGGGACACCCTAGAAAGAACAAGGACAGAAATGATTCAGCTTCACAATGAGTCACCCTCTCATGCAGTTTCCCTGAAACAGAACACAGCCTCCAAGCAAACCTACTGTCATAACAGGGACCCTTTTATGTCACAGAACCAAAACCCTGAAGTTATTCGTGAAAAGTCAATGACTCCCACTCTCCATCCGCATGGTGGTCAAAAGGGAATTAGGGCAATGAACACAGGCAAACATCACCACTGTCGAGGTCACAGCTGACTGGAGAAGCCTTTTAGCTTGCAAAGAATTAGCACTGAGAGCAGCAGGGTAAAAATGAAAGAACAAATACCTGTGGACCAGGAAGGCCACTGTCTCCTTTATCCCCCTTTTCACCCGGCATTCCCTGAGTATGCAAAAGCACACAGTTAGGTTCGCATAGATACTATTTTAATCTCCTCCCCCCCGAGTACTGTAGAGTATTTCCAACATTAAGTTGCTTTTACGCTAATATCCACATGCTATATTTCACCTCTCACATATGTTATGCCATCCATGTAAACATTCCAACAGAGCTGAATAGTTTGTGTACTAGAACAGATCCAACACAGAATGTACAGTCCCACGTGGCTGAGCTTATATTGAAAACACATGGAGAGGAGTGTTGACTATTTCAATGTTATTTATAGTTTTGAATTTAAAAGCATATCTCTCTATGTATAATCAGTGAATGGAATTCAATTTCTTTCCAATGATACTAAATAGCTTTTCAAAATAGCTGTTTAATGCACATAATCTAAAATCTAAAAGTCACTCAGTGAACTATATTCTGATGACAGTAGATCTAAGGAACTCAATGATGCCTTCCATTAGTCTCCATCCACAATTATGATAAATCAGCAATGAATTGGAATAACAGTGGCTACCTTCTAGGTGCTATTACATTCATTAAAAATTTAATCGAGAGCTGGGGAAGTAGCTCAGTAGGTGAAGTGCTTACCCTCCAAGCATAAGGACTTCCTAAGTTGATCCCCAGAACCAATGTTTTAAAAAAACTGGGCATGGTGGTATGTGCCTATAATCCCAACACTGGTGAGATACAGACAGCTGGATCCCTGGGGCTCCCTGGTCAGGCAGCCTAGCCTAATCAGCAAATTCCAGTGAGAGACACTGCCTCAAAAGAAAAAGTGGGTAGCCTCTGAGAAGTAACATCTAAGATTAATCTCTGGCCTCCATATGCATGTATGTATACCTACAAAAACATGTACCCATGCATGCATACATATATACACATGGCATGCATGTACACACAATAATTTTTTTAACAACAAGCAGCATAACGCTATACACAAGACCTGCATAAACTCAAGCCAGGCAAAATCCCAGCATAAAGGGAGAGGTGGGCATGAATTCCCACCCTTAGCTAAGGAGCTGCTGGCAATTGGTAGCTCCTGGGAGAGGGTGAGCCATCTTTCTTTAAGGGTGGGACCCCTGGTAGGTCGACCACACTGCAGGGTATGGCCCCACACCCAAGATATTGAGCAGCACAAATTGGACTCAACGGATTAAAAAAAAATGAGGACACAAAATTGGGTGAGTAGGGAGGTGGGGTGGATTTGGGAGGAGTTGGGGGAGAGCGAATATGATCAAACCACATTATTGAAATTCTCAAAGAATTAACAAAAAATTATTCTAAAAAAGAATTTAGACAGACTAGCAAAGGCCATACATGCTGTCCCTGCTATCCTCTTTCGAGACAATGCTGGACACACTCCATTCATGTACCTGCTTGTTAGAGGACCACCATCACTGAGCAAGCAGTTTACTGTGGGTTCAGCTAATGAGTGAACTGTCAGTCATGACTTTCAAAGGAACTGAGGCTCATTAGTAATACACAGAATAACACTCCTTCCTTATAACCTCGTGAAAAAAATGATAACAATACATTTGAATACGTATACACAACTCACAGGCATGCCTTGAATGGACAGACCACTGGGTCCTTGGGGTCCAGGTGGTCCCTGAGGTCCTGCAGGGCCTGTTTCTCCCCGAGGACCTTCTGGTCCCTGGAAAGCGAAAGAGAAAAGTCATTCTGGAAGCTAGACCCTCTGATACCTGAAAGAGATTTCTGTTTACAGCACTTACTTTTTTTTTTCCCTAATACAATTTCTCTTAAGACATGAAACACTCAGAGGGTAACAAGACACCAAGTTTCAAATCATGTACCTCCCAGGCAAAACATCATTAGTAAACCATGAAAATAAACACATAGGGATTTCAGCAACTTTATTCATTTTGCTCCCATAAATAGGAATACTGTGCCAATTATGTGAGCAACTAGTCCACCCACCACAGCCTAACACTTTCCAAAGCTCTAAGTGCTGCAGGACCACCCTCCTGGTGGGGAGGGTTCAACCACACAGATGAACTGGATGAACCACTTCCTCTCCCTTTGCTCTCAATACACTTCCTCAGCTGTCGAGTCCCACCCCAGAGAGTGCCTCAGCCTCTCGCTCTGAGAACTTTGCACCCAGCCTATTTTCCCCCTCGCCTTTATACAACACCACAGCCTATATCTTCTACAGCCGAAAAGCGCCTCTAAGCTCAGTACCATCTTTACTTTTATTCAGGGCCAGGCATCCCTTTCAAATCAGCAGTTCTCACTTCTTTTAGATCCCTTGATGCTAAAACATTACTTGTGTAATGTTAGACTCAGAAAATCTACTTATCCTTACTTTCTTTCTATTAAATTAAGATATCCAGTGCTTGGGTATCATATTTTTCTAATGGACATGTTTAAATTATATGCCTTATACAGTACCAATAGTATCTTTTCTCCTTGTATGTGTATACTATGTATTGAGAGTAAATCAAGCTTGTTAAACGTGGACCAGTATTTGGGGATTGAAATGTTGAAATAATTTCCTCTAGCTTTGTTTGAAATAGAGAGCATGTTATTATTACATACAGTCATCTTACAGTGCAACAGAACACTGGGACTTATTTCTCATATAACTTCACACATATTGATCAATCATGCCCCTTCCTTTGACCCTACCCCTGAGCCTTTAGTAACCACTATTTTGCTCTTGATTTTTTATGAAAACTTCCTTTTAAATTTCATATGTGGGTAAAATCATGCATGTCTTTCTCTGCCTGTCTTATTCCACTTAACATAATTATCTCTATGTCCATCCATGTCTTACAAATGGCAAGACAAGATCTTTGTAAGCATGTGACTAGTACTCTATCTTGTACAGGTACCACAGTTTTGTTATCCATTCATCATTTCGTGGGTACTCAGGTCATTTCCATTTCTTGTCTATAGTGAGTAGTGCTGCAGTCAACATGGACATGCAGATGTCTCTTCAACACACTGACATTTTTTCTTTTGTGCTTGATCTCAAATGTGGAATTATTGAATCCATTACTTTGGACAAAGAATGTGGAAGAAAAATCACGGAGAGGTAAAGTACAGAAAATTAATCAATATAGATTACATTTCTTGAAGATTTTCGTGTATGGACATGTCGAGCATCCAGAGAGTCCAGCAAGATAGACTCTGGAGTACTAAAGGTATGTTCATAGGTGAGGTTACAAAGAACACATTGAATGTGAAAATGAATAAGAATTACATGAAAATTAGGTAGAAGTGAGAGGAAGAGAGCCCAGAAAAGAATATGAAATGGAAAACCTAAAACTTAGTTCCAGAGCAAAGATAGAATGGTGAAGAAGAAAACATTTCTCAGAGAGAGGTGGCCAAGCAAGCTGATTATTGCAGAGATCTCAAGCAAGATAAGAATTAAACTCCAGTCTGTGGAGCTAGTAACAGGTGGCGACTTCACTGAGAACAACTCAGGATTCCTAGGGGATCAGGAATTATTTGTGGGTTAAGGATTATTTAGGAAAGGGAGTTGTAGAGCACTGAATGATAATCATTCCTATAAGAAATACACACAGTATATGGAAAGAGAGTGAGATTTTCAAAAAAAGAAGAGGAACGTATAAATATCACTTAGTGTTCTTAATATTTGTAGTTTAATAATATAGTACCTATATAGCATTGGAGAGTAGGACAGAAAATAGGTGGCCTATTTTGTTCTTAAAATATAAAACAAATAGACTCAGAAAGACCAGTGTCACAGTTGCTTTGTGATTCCAAATTTCCTTCATCTATTTGCTGCCACAGAATGAAAAAAGACTACATATTAGGGCTTCCCATAGTGAAAGTATGATTTAACTGCTCCCATACTGGCCGCAAAGGTGACTATATGATCCTCTGTTGTCCACAATCCACTGCACACAGTAGCTGTGGTTTGTCAAAATCATCATGCAGAAATAACCATACTAGCAGCAATCCTGTGGGAGTGGGTAATCAGAGGAAATCGGTTTACCATTGGTCACCAAACGTGTGTATTAATTCATCTTCATCATTAGAACCACTGTCCAGTAAAAATGTTGGAAAAATGATGCGATCTTGCTGAGTGACGTGTTGGGAGGCAAAAGCCAGAGGGCATAGGAGCTCAGGGACCTGTGATAGGTGACCCCGAGAAAGGCAACCTTCTTGAGAAGAGATCTTCAGCCCTGGCCTTTCTTAAAGTACCATAAGAGATAGAGGCAAATACAGAATGGCAAGTCTGTCACAGGAAACAGTACCAAACCATAAAGTAGATATCGCCCAGCCTGAGCTTGGAATTGGATAATGCCTGATTATCTTCAGCTTTTTCTCATACTCACATCTTGTCCGCCTTGCATCATCTGCTTCCAATTTTATAATAAGAATCTTCATAATTTTCTCTTCTATACCAATAAGTACTATGCAAAATCAGTAAGTCACCATACTGAAACAGTAAATCAGAAGGACAGATAGCATGGAAACCATGAGGAACATCATGAGAACAAGATTAGGAGTCAAGTTAGAAAGGCAAAGATGGTCAAGTGAACTTTCAAGGCCGTGATCCATGACTTCAAGTTCTGAAAGACTTTGATAGGACCCAGCATAGACACTCAGGAAATTAATCTGAGAGCAGATGTGCAGACTCATTCAGAAAGTCAAGCCATTGGAGACAGGAGACCAGTTAAAGATTTTCCAGAATCCGAAGGGAAGAGAATGAATGAAGCCTGAACTTAGTGTCTGGGCTTCAGCCAGTCCTTGGGATGCCTTTGTGCAAAGCAGAAAAACCTGTGTCTTGACATGCTTGGCACGGCCTGGTCATTTTGGCTGCTACCTCTGTGCAGTGAACAACCTGAATCATCATGCTTGTTGACCTTGGGCACTGAAGATGGAAAACAAAGCTAAGCACTTGATTCTACGTAGTGCAAAATGACAGGAGGAATCCACATTGTGAGAAATCACCTGAAGGGACTGAGGCTGAGCCGTGAGTGCATGATGTCGCTTAGGAGGCACTTGCTATAGATGGATGAACAGAACACTAACGTTCTTTTATCTGTTCCAGAAATTTTCCTTTCCCTGAGTTATTAAATATTTGTTTTGATTGAAAAGTATGCATCTTTCAAAAGAAGTAAAAATGATTAGACACAAATTCACAAAAATATAAGGAATTTTAAATCACAAGGGTAAATGAAATCACATTTAATTCCAGAGTGATGACTAGTTGAGACAGAGAGAAATCATTACCTTTGGACCCTGTTCACCTTGCTGGCCTTTTGGTCCTCGGAGTCCTGGACCACCCTGGCAGGCAGATGTTAAGTATTAGCTCAAGACTGCACACTTCACTCATTTTTCTTAACAATATGGGATTAGATCATTACTATTATATATAAAGCCCACACATTGTGTACTGATATATTCCAATTGGAGATTCTCGACTGGAAATTAGCCACCTAACTCTGGTCCTTCCTGAAGATGATTTCATAGTTTCAGAAAACTTTTGATACCAAATTCATTTAAAATTGAATAATTCTCATAGGATTTATTTATAGCTTCTAAATACTATTGTTCACAAATAAAAAGAATAAAATATATAATTTGCATAAAATTATTTGTTTTGCATCATAACTTTCTAAAAAGGTTTATGAAATAAGCAACAATTCAACTTCATTTATTTACACAGAAATAAAGACAATTAGGTTAATGTTTCTGAAACTACAGTCATCTGCATTTTTTCCTCAAGATTTTTTTGACATATTAATGTACCAACTACACTATTGTTAATAGCAGTTTCCTTTTATATAGATATTTCTGTATACATAATAAATATGTGAACATAGTCTTTGTACATTTATTTACATGGTTCCAAACACACACACACACACACACATACACACACATACACATATATATATATATATACTCTGAATATTTTAATTAACTATTGCATTTCAATAAATCTACTTGCAAAACCAAATCATAATAAATGGAAAAAGTATCACTTACTGCAAATGCTAGATCACCTTAAAACTCAATACAGTATGAATGATGTCATTCAATTTACCTAGGGTTTACTCCTCCTGAACCCTGTGCAGCAATGCACACATGAGCACCACTAAATGGACTCAGTCATTATATACATATGTATGTATATTTACAAATCTATGTATGTATATGTAAGAATAATAAAGGAGACGAAAGATTGTGAGGGAGAGAGGGGACATGAGGAGAGTTGGAGGGGGACTGGGAGGGGTCAATATAATGGAGATAGAGTACTCATGCATGAATTTCTCAAAAAATAAAATTTCACAGTTTGCTTTTTGATAAAGGAGGAAGTGAACAGTGTGAATGGGGCCGTGGGACACTAGCCAACGTCTTCATTTGAGCAAAAGGATCGATAATCATTAAAACTTTCTCCCCATGTAATTCTAATTTACTTCATGGGATGACCAAGCTTACTGAAAATGACTATATACCATCAACAGAACACATGTGTTACTTTGGAACACACTTGGCCAGGTGATTTTTTAACATTTTTTGGCCCCTTTTCAACTAAAATCTACTCTTTCCTCAGTATAAGTCGCTTGCTCATCTACCAGATTTTAAAAATACAAATCCCCATGTAATTCTAATTTACTTCATGGGATGACCAAGCTTACTGAAAATGACTATATACCATCAACAGAACACATGTGTTACTTTGGAACACACTTGGCCAGGTGATTTTTTAACATTTTTTGGCCCCTTTTCAACTAAAATCTACTCTTTCCTCAGTATAAGTCGCTTGCTCATCTACCAGATTTTAAAAATACAAATATATAT